AGATTATTGTGCATAATTTGAGTTGAAAGGTTTGCCGCTCCCTCGCGAGTTCGATATTCTGTTGTGCATATGAAGTGACTCGGAACAGTCATATCGACCATATTGGGATAGGGCTGCTGAGCCGCTTGAGGACGTGCTCTGAATCCACCCGGAAAATCAAGTGAGTAATAATGGCATTTGAGATTTCAGTTATTGGGGTTTCGTGCTTATACATACGTTGGGAGATGAGTGGAAAAAGCTATAGGTATACTCAAAAAAATAACCAAAAAACTTCAGTCGTGCTGGGACTCTTCCAAACTGGTTTTCATATAAAGCTAATTTATTTATTTATTAATATCCCAGCCACATTATCGTCTTCATCATCAATTTTTGCCACCCACTCAAGTCATTCCAAGACGTTGACGAACTTTATCTCGATCTTACTTCATATAAATCTCACATGCAGCTCCCACGCTTCGAAATTCAAGCTTAAAGCTCACACATTTCAATTTAAATGATGACAAAGTGATGAGAGTTTCTTGATATGAGATGCAGATAGTCACAGGTTACGAAAATGGCGCACATGGTTTTAAAACTAGAACGAGAGCATTGAACCAGAGGCAATGTAAACAAAAGCTCAGTCTTGGGTTTCCACTTCGGAATTTGTCCAAAGCTGTGACAGCTGTCGCGAACCGCCTCCGAGTCTTAAAGTCTGGGGCCTAACAAGTGCAGCATTGTCGTTCCATTTGGACAGGCTCACCTTCAAAAGTGGCTGCGACAAACGGCTCTCTTATATATGTGTGTATATGCATTCTGCATCACTTTCGATTTGGCACAGAAACGGATACGAGGGCCCAGCACAAGTGGATTGTGGCAGGGAAGGTCGCTTGGAGTTCCAATCTTGTTGTGAAAAGGTGTCAGTTTACTCAGATCTCTGGGGCTGCGGCAAGGGGTACCTTATCGAACATGTGTGTTGACCCACAGTTTCGTTTTCTTTTCAGTTTCTTTCTCGTTTTTATCAGTTCTTGTTTGCTAAGTGTAGTTGCAGAGGAGTCAACAAATGTTGTTCCTTTTTTTAGTAGGTAGATGTATACTAAGAGTAAAAATATTAAAGATAAATATTTCTACTCTACTTTAAGTGAAACTTATAAATAATTTCTTTTCCAATGCTTATACTTAACTAGATTTCACTATTATTCACAGCAGATCTATATTTGCATAGCTTCGGTATTAGAAAAATCGATGGCTAATTGAGTTAATCGATCGACATGAGCATTTGCCTTTCAGCGGAATCAATTAAAGTTGTTTTTTCTCTGCAGCTGCATTGTCGGGCAATTTGTCAGCACGTTAACAACTTGACTTATCGATTGTAACCGGGGAAATGTGAAACCTGCCACCCTCCAAAACCGCACTATTAGCGAGCAGGTTACACTCAAATTACCAGAAACCGATTAACCGCAGAAGATCATCGAGGGAATCGTTGGGCTCCGCAATTAATGCAGCGTTTGTGGCCAATTTTCAAGCTTTCGCTGGGCCAGAAGAAAGCCGTAAAACGTAGTCAGAGTCGACTATTCTGCTTTGCTAGCCACGCTGATGTCATTTGGCAATCATTTGAGCTTGGTGAGTCTGTTTAGAAGTCGTCAACACGTCACTCCAGTCTCCGGCGATCGCGTGAAGGTTACCCAGAATCTCGAAACAAACGAGGCACATTTTCAGAGGCGTGTTCGGATCTCCAATTCAAATTAAAACCGAGAACGAACGAGAGACTTTGTCAATAATACCCGCATGTAAAGTACTCGAGTTTGATGTTAATTGCGGTGTACTCACACATCAGTTTCCAACTGTATGTGCGATTTATGCAAATCTTTTGCCATCGCCGAAAGCAGTGGAAAAGCAGTTTCTGCTGCCTCTTGTGATTGCCGTTTATTGGACTTTTTGGAGCGTTGCAAATATGCATGGCAAATAGCTTACCAACTGTGAAATACTCCTAGGCTTGCGTTTTTTGCTTTTCCGAAAAATAAATAAGGGGGATTGGGGAAGTGAAGGGAAAAATAATTAACTAATTTCCAGGCAAAAGTAAAATAATGATTGAGGGTTGGATGTTTCGATTGTTAATACACTTGGGATATCTCTCTTTGAAATCGTCTGTTGGTTTTCTCAGCATAGCAGTAATGATAATATCTTTCTTTTGAAATAGCTTTGTTTTACAATAAACTCATAATTCAAGAAGGATTGATTTCTGAAAGTCACAAAAAACAGTAGTTCCCAATGTTTGAGGGTAATAAATTTCAGACTTCTTAATTACAAAGGTTTTAATTTGCATTTATATTCGAAAAAAGTAAGCAATCTATAACTGTATATGTAAGCTTTGTACATTGTTGATCTTTCACCATAAGCTATTCATGAGATATTCACCTGGCAAGACAACTCATTTCGGTTCCCAACTGCGTCGCGAAATTCCAAACGATAATTAACAGCAAACTTAACGAGCTCAAAACAAATGGTAAACAGTGCCTGGGCCTCCGCCTCCACAGTGAAGCCTCCCTACTCCCTACTCCTCCCCACAAATCAGTTACTTAGCCCCGATCTGCAATTAGCACACAAATGGCAAATGGGAAATGGAAAATGGGAAATACCAGGGTTTCCTCCACTCGTTTCGGGTTTATCGATTAAACACTGAAAGGAGCAGCGAAAGTTCTGGGGAAACATGGGCTATAAATGGTATCATGACGCCAGACATTAAAGCCGCACCCAGCTGGCCACTCGCCGGAACCAATGTCCCTTGGACAGGGGGTTGCCCGGGCTAGTATTGCCATTGTTGTTGGGTGGCAAACAACTCCGGCCGGAGTGGCGGACTTGTTGTGACCGGCTGGCGGGCAGGTTGCCATGGCGAGCAATGCACACACGAGGGCTCCAAACTTTCTGTCTGACCGAAAGCGGGAATATGTGAAAGGGTGCTGCCCCATTGATTGCCCCATTGCATGCCAGCGTTTGACCAAACAAAGAAACCCATCAAAAGGCAAGCCAAATCAAAAGTTTCTGCGGGAAATTGGAGCAAGACTGCCATATAACCTAGAGATATTAATGCACGGTCATATCTTATCTGCTAGATAAAATACATAATAGTAGGCAAAAATCGAAAAAAGAGAACCTTATCTATCCGGTTGGCTTGGGTTTGGAATATCAAGATGTAAACATAATATGTGCCTTGGATATGCCGTGTGAATGGAGGGGGTTTCAACTTGAGTGCTGTATAAATATGGGGATTCCAATATATGCAGAATATACTCAACTCTCCTACGATAAGTAGAAAATAAGACTGAGATAAAATTCTGTCCAGAGAAAATATGGATATATACATAAGTGAGTCAGAATATTGAAGATTGTTAGAAAGGCAAATGCCTAATTAAATGTAGATTAGACTATATATTTTAGTTGCTTAGCTGAATACATTAGTTCCGAATACAATGGCGATTGTAAATATATGGAATACACCTGATTTTCCTCTTCCTTAAGTACAAGTTTCATCTTCCAATCAATATTTTTCCCACCTAAGGTTCTGTTAGCGAAAACAAACATTACGATCTTAGCTTAAGAACCAATTCGTTGGTAAAACAAAGTTCTGTTTACTTTCCTATAGCTAGGGTTTCCACCTATTTACTCTATGTATTTACCTTATCGAAACTCAAAACTTGCTAATGAACAATTCATGACGATGATGTTGTTGCTGGTAGGTGACTAAATAATTGGTTATTAATATGGCATTTAACTTATCGCTCGCGAATCAACGGATTCCATGGGGAGCCGAGTTACTGTTTCACCTGTATGTTGTTTGCTTGAAAATTACCTTGAAGTGCGCTCCTTTCGTATCGAGTGGCTAAGTAATTGAAATTCCGTAATGTGCACTCAATGAAAACTGCTTAGACAGCTGAACGATGGGTTAATTCACTCCATATCATATCATCACACAACAACAAACGCGAGGGGCGAAACGGAAATGGTTGTTAAAAACCTTTTGGGGCGCCACCTTAGTTCAATAAGAACTGCTTAAATCGTCAGGAAAAATTGCACATTGAGTTTTGCTATTTATGCAACTTTTTAGAAGAAATCAGGTTTTCTTCCCAATATTTTTATGTACTTTCGAGGGTAACTTCTCACACCCGCGACGAAGGCGGCAGCGGATTGAACGACTCGGCGGTTCGACGAGCGCGTAGCGAATGAGCCGCCAACTCGGAACGCTCCACCTTCGCTCAGCGCTCCGCCGACGTCGCCGTCGACGTCTCCGTCTCGGCGGCGACTGCGCAGTCGGCGGGGCTGCGTCACTGCAAAGTGAATATATTTGATACGATTTTTGGCAACCCGGTTTGAGCCGAATCTTTCTGGCTGCCCGGGTTAGAGGTGGCCCTCCAAAAGCTTGGATGGCAGGGGCAGGAAGTCCGGGGCTGCGTGGGCGCCCCACAAATGTGACAGGTTTTCGCCTTTGTTGTGGCCTGAAATTGATGCCACCAATTGATCGCCACCTTTGTGCGACACTTGTTGCTCGCCTTTGGCTATTTATAATATTTCTTTATTCGAAAAATGACATCGGACGCGTGTCCCGAAAACAGTCTTTCCCTGTTGAAATAAATGTTTCCGCCATAGAAATTTATTTGAAGTAAGTTGTGCACGCCATTCGAGACTTACATAAATTACGAGAGCGGAAATGGGCGTGACGGGTGGGCATCGAAGATCAACTAAATTAAAACGCCGACGCATGGCAAAACGTTAGAAAAGAAATATCAACCCAGTTCAGATCAGACCGGATTGCAGAGACCCACGCAGCAATTATTGTTAATTGTTGAAGGGGGAAAATGTAAGCAAAATATAAATTAAATGGTAACCAATCGTTTAATGAAATTGTGTGAAAAGTAAACAATTTAAGAATATAAAATCTGATTTGATTATATATTGTTAAATCATTTTTAAACCGTAATAATGACTTATGTTTGAAAATTAACTAGAACCCTATTAAACAACCAGAGTTTTCGAGTATACAAAAATGATTAATGGTATTTTATTATTTCACTAGCAAGTTACACAGAAAAACACTTTTCAATAACATAGCTCCAAGAGCAACGAATGTTGATAGTTGGGATGAATATAGATCGTATTCGCGTAGAACGACGTTTTGTACCCTCGATTACAGCACTAATTGCAGGCTAGAATAATTGCGTTTGAGGAAGGTTTAACAACGCGGTGTTTTGGTGGTTTAAATACGGCACAGGAAATGCACTAGCTCCGTGGGGTGGGAGAAGAGTAGGAGGATGGCTACAGGCGTCTATTTCTGGCTGGGCGTGTAGTACATGGAGTGCAGGAAGAGGCGAGTCACTTCTCCTATCACCGAACGGTCGGGTATGCTCTGGGCCATGCCGTAGAGGGCCATCTTTCCAACCACTGGCTGGCCGGGATCCTTCATGATCTCCGCCGTGCAGCTGCGCACATCGGCAATGAATTTATCTGCCACTCCGGGCTGTGTGTGCATGTCCGTCACGCAGATGTGGATGCTAAAGAAATGTATTTTAAAACTTAGAGAGGCTCTGCTAATTTAAAAGTTGATTCACCTACCCAGAGGGGAACTGCAGGCTGTTCAGGTTCCAGCCCAGTTTGCACAGCGAGTCCGCGAGCCGGAAAATGTCAAACACATTGGAGCCCAGAGCAATCACCGACGTGGCTGGCTTGCCAAACACAAAGATGCCGTCGATGTCACGAACCCTAGAACAGAGAAATAGGATTCAAACTTATTTTATTTAATGTCTTGATAACCTTACCCCCTTTCGATATAACGAGCTGTGTCTACGATGCGCTTGGTGGCCTCCAGGTAACCATCATAGCCGAAGCTCATCATGGTGGCCCAGCAGGCGGCGATAATGCCTCCGGCACGGGAGCCGTTTACGGTGGGGGAGCCGTACACGCCACCAGGCCAGTCGGTGGTCACGGTGAACTGATGGTCCTTGTACTTCTTGTCCGAGTAGAGGATCACCGACGATCCCTTCGGCGCGAATCCGTACTTGTGGGTGTCGGCGGAGATACTAGTCACTCCCTTGACCTCGAAGTCGAAGGGACGCAGCTTGTAGCCAGCGTTGCGGACCAGGGCCACCACAAAGCTGCCCAGACAGGCGTCCACGTGCACGGGAATGTCGTACTTCACGCCCAGAGCGGCGATGGCTTCGATGTCATCGATTGTTCCGTAGGGGAAGTTGGGGGCAGAGCCGACAAGCTGGAGGGGATTCACAACATTAGATTTCAGGATAAGCCATGGCTGTATATAGATAAATCCTCACCAGAATGGTGTTCCTGTTAATGGCATGCTTGAACTTCTTGATGTCGACCTCGTAGGTCTCCGGATCTACATCCACGGAGCGCACGTGGATGTTGAAGTACTGGCCACCCTTGTCGAAGGCAGCGTGCACAGTCTTGGGCACCACGATGTTCGGTTTGGTGATACCCTTGTGCTCCCTCGCGTAATCCCTGAAGGCCTTCATGGCCATCACGATGGACTCGGTGCCGCCGGTGGTCATTGTGCCGCAGCTGGCGGAGTTTCCGTGGAAGAGGTTGCACGCCATGCGCACCACCTCCGCCTCCATTTTGCAGACGCCCGGGAAGAGATCTGCGTGTAGGGGATTCGTGTAGGAGGCCTTGCCGTACACCTCGGTGACGAGCTCCACGAGCTCAGGCTTGTAGCCGTAGACTGCACCGGATACACGACCATCTCGCCAGTCGTAGTGACCGGTCTTGAGGTGCTCGTCCACCAGTCGCAGGATTTCCTCCTTGCTGAGTCCCTTCTCGGGCAGGACTTCCGTGTAGGTAAGGTGGGCGTTGTTCTTCTTGATTTCCGTCTCAAAATCATTCTTGGCCTTGGCCAACTCCACCTCCACCTGGCGGCGCACGGCGGGAATTTTCTTGGCGAACTTGAAGAACTGGCGCTTGCCACGGATGTACAGACCTGGTGGAAAGAAATATCTGGGATTAGTTTGCTATACATATAAGCTTTAAAATAAGCATTTCGCATTCCATAAATGATTTTGTTCCTTAGGAATATATATATATATATATTCTAAATATGCTGAGTCCAAACTTTGCTTTCACTAAACAATATTTAAGGCTAGAATTAGTCTTATCTTGAGGTGAATAGACCCAAAACAAAGAACGATTACTGAGATGTATTGTTGCCTGATAAAATATTTATGATGACCATTTGAGTTTATCAGACATGGCATGTTTCGCAGCAGACGAAACTTTGTTCAGGGTTTATGGTACGCTTTTAGAGGCTATGCTAGAAAGCCGAAGCCTTAGTCATAGCATTGGTATAAAAAACTACACAAACTATAAATTATGTTCGAGGAAATGCTAGATATCTCAATCTTATCGATTTCTAGCGTTGTTGAACTTTGCATATCTCATTGAATTCGAGTTGCTACACGCTTTAACAAACCTTTTGGCTTTAATCTAGCGTAATCTGTGTCTAGATTAAATTCAGAAGTTCGTGGAGGGCACCCGACGAGTGCATGGTGTTAAATCTTATATAAGTTAAAAGCACAAAGTACACAGTGAAGTCTACTTTTATTTTCAAAGGGAAATAACAGTGGGTCAACTACAGTTGAGATGTTTGATTGATTTGTATAAAAGATTATACTAAGCGGTTATCTGTGTCTTTGAGTTCCCTCTGGTTTTAATGCTTTATTATTATATATATTTCTGGAAGATTTTTGAGTACCCCAAGTATAAAAGATTAACATAAATATTATCTGAATTATTTTAGCTTGGTTTTTAATAAGAGCTTTACGTTATCAGTCGCAAACAGCCATTCAAAATATGCATATTTAAAATAATGTATTTGCTACATTATTAAATAACTTTTAAAGAAGTCTACCTGTATTTTTTAAGGTGTTCAAAGAACCCACCCACAAGATAAGATAGTTTGATGGATTTAACTTATTGACGTGCCCTGCCCTGCAACTTGGGAATAAAAGAAATCGGCTGAGTGGGGTGACTAGGCACTATGCAGTTGATATATCCAAGGGATCTTCCTACTCGTTCAAGTAATTTTTATGCCTGAAGATTGCCTGATAGCTTCGGCATGAATGGAATGTACTGATATACACAACTCACTTTCATCCTGGCAGATAACTGTCCAGAGGTAGACGCCTCCGAGGACCGTGGTGGCCGTGATGGTGGCCACCTGCCATGGCTCCTTGGCGCCAAATGCGCGATTGATGCCCTCGGCCACGGGTTTCAGGCAATCGCTGCCGGAGAACGGACGCATCTTGGGGCAGCTGGAATGTAGGAATACCCTTTAGTCGAGCTCTGATCGGGGGATCCGCACGCAAGCGGTTCAATTCGTTAACTGATTTCTGGGGCGGCGAATGTGGGGCGACAAATACAAATGGCTTTGGCGGCTGATAAAGTACTGTTCGAGTATTAGTCACATACATTTATTTATGGAGTACATAAGACGGCGGGAGCTTCTCAACTTTGTTGTTGTGTCTGCCCGCTCAGCCGATGCAGAAACAAAGGCAGTGGTTATTGACGCACCTGAGCGGGCCACTCACCTGTACAGTGGGCAGCTATATCACCAGAGAAGCTTTGAAAGACGGGAATAAACCTGAACTAAACTTTCAATCCTACAAACACATTGCGGCTTAGAGTGACCGTGCGACAACTGTTGCTCTCTGTGCTATCGAATAACAGCTGTTCCGATAACTGGCCAGCTGTTTGTTCTACGAGTTTTCCAGCACTGGTTGCAAAATCAAAACAAAGATGTTGCGTATTTTGCCAAGCTCCCGGAAAATATCAAAATATGCAACAGGTTGGACGCCACAGCTCCTCCGGTTCGCCAGCAATGGATCCAGTGATTTGGTCTTGGTCAAGGAGGAGCATGGAGTGCGGGAGATAACGCTGAATCACCCAAAAACACTTAATTCCCTCTCGCTGGAGATGATGTCTGCCCTTCAGGATGCCCTGGTCAAAGATAAAGATAACGTGGAGCTGCGATGCGTGGTCCTAACGGCACAAGGAAAAATCTGGTCGGCCGGCCACAACCTCAAGGAGCTCCACAACGAACCCAAGATACAGGCCTGTGTCTTCCAGAAGCTAACCGACGTAATCAGTGACATCCAAAAGCTACCGGTGCCTGTGATAGGAAAAGTTAATGGTTATGCGGCTGCTGCGGGTTGCCAACTGGTGGTCTCATGTGATATGGTGGTCTGTTCCAAGAACAGCAAGTTCTCCACCCCAGGGTAAGATTGGAACGTCAGTTTAAACGAATGTTAATCATTTATTTGAATCCTTATTTTAGAGCTGGCGTCGGAGTTTTTTGCTCCACTCCCGGCGTGGCCGTTGCCCGCATCATGTCGCGACCTAAGTCCGCCTACATGCTAATGACTGGTCTTCCGGTTACCGGCGAAGAAGCCTACATATCAGGAATGGTCACCAAATCAGTTCCAGCAGAGGAGCTGGATAAGGAAATAGACGAAATCACATCCGCCATCAAGGCCAAAAGTCGGGCCGTCATTTCCTTGGGCAAGGAGTTCTTCTACAAGCAACTGGCCATGTCCCAGACAGAAGCCTTCTCGGCTGCTCAAGACAAGATGATCGAGAACTTTCAGCTGGGCGATACCAAAGAGGGCATTGCTAGCTTCTTCGAGAAGCGTCCACCCAGTTGGAAGCACGAGTAATGGGTTTTTGTGGCTGTGAAACTAAGAAATAAAACTGTCCAATTGTGCATTTATACTTTTAGGCTGTTCAAGGCGAGAATAAAAATTATTTTTGTAATCCAATAATGTTTGTTTAAATCATTTTAATTATTCAACCGTATATGTTGATAGAGTATTACCTTTATTATATAATCTTATGGAAAAAATGATGACAGTTTTACTGTCCATCCACTAATGAGCAGATGCTTTTTAAGTGTTTCTTTTTAATTCCTTAATCCCTAAATTCCTACTAGATTACTCCCCAAATTTTTTATCACAATAAAATAAAACGAGTTGACGTGCTTTCGAAAAGTGCTCATTCCTTTTTAGGTGTTTAGTTTATTTAAAAGTGTTTTGTGAAAATATTTAAAAAATACAATTACAAATTTTCATAAATAAAATGTATAAATTGATGTGTGTGATTGGGTGCATTCGAAATTTTGGCAGTTAAAGTCTGTTCTTATAATAGATCTTCCTTATGGGTTGACATTGGTTAATTTATAAGGTATCCGGTTCTATTGTAGTGAGTCTTTTTTTTAGGTTTACTTAATTGGGAACTGGATGAGACGAAGAAAATTCCTGGGGCCGCGATAACGTGTTGCAAAAAACAAAAACTTTAAATTTGTTTGTAATTGCTTCTCAGCTTTCGCTGCATTTGTTTAAATATTTGTTGAGCTCTTCGCAGTGAATTAAATATAATAGAATACATCTAAAAGATGAACCACTCGTAGATTTTGTATATATATATAGCTACAGTAAGCGTCAGCATAGGTGCGCTAAATGTATTTTCTAAAAGTAGGCCAAAATATTATAAACTGTGCAATAAGTATTATCTTTCATTATTTCAGAAGAAGCTAACGAACGGCGATCCGCTGGCGGATCCCAATAGAAATATGTATATAGCGCCATGCAAAGAGAATTATAACCAAGAAAGTAAGACAAATACGATTTGTCGATAGTGATACGTGCTAAACTCCTACGCGTCTATGACCCCGTGCGAAAGTCCGCTGCTCCTCGGATCCTCCGCAAAAAGGAACAAAATGTGTACGGATGTGGTTGGTGTGCATGTCTGCAGTGCGGGTGTGTCTGAGTGGTGTGCAATAGTTTCCCTCCTCCCAAGTTCTGTGCGGGGAACTTAGACCTCGGTGACAGGGCGCTTCTCGATCCAGGCCTTGATCGGTTCCAAAGCGTTGATGGCATCCACGACACCGCGCAGAGCTGGGTAGGGCTCCAGCAGATCGCGCTTGACCATGTAGTTCATGTAGTCGGTGATGCCTGCAAAGTAGACATCGGCCCAGGTCAGCTGTTGGTGGAAGAAATTGGCATTAGTAAAGTTGAATTACTAAAAAATATATAGTCGAATAGGAGAGCGAGCCAAATTTGGAAAAGAAACTAATGGATTATATCTCATTAGACATCTTCAATAAGAGTTCATATGCATAAACCCACCTTGCCCAGAGCCAGGTGACCATCGTTGTCCTTGACGGTCTGCTCGAGCTTCTCCAGGTAGAATGGAATGACCTCCGCATTCAGGGTGACCAACTTCTTCTCCTTGATCTCGTCCTCCGGCTCGTACGAGACGACTGCAATTTCTATACATTAAAAATTCCAGAGTTAATCAAGGACACTGAACATGAAACTGGGGCACACATTGTTCGCTACTTAGACGGAAGTCGTTGATGGTGTCCACCACAATGTCGATCTGCAGGTCCTCCCACGGAGTGGCGCCGCACAGGCCGACGGTCTTGGCCAGGAATCGGGCCATCGAGATGCTCTGGTGCACACGCTTGCCGTCCACCTCCAGCACGGGCATCTGGCCCATGGGCATGGCTGTTGGGCGAGGAGGAAAGTGGGTTGAGGTTAGTACGTTGCTTACTTGACCTACCTTAATAACTTAATAATATTTTTGAACTAACTTGGCTTCAGGGCTGGCCACTCGTCGCGGGTGACGCGGACATCCTCGTACTCCTGGTTGCCGTAGGCGAACAGGTAGCGCAGGGGCTCGGCCAACGCCTTCACGTTGAAGTAGAAGAGCGTGTAGCTGTGCTTGATGGGCTCGGCGGGCTCTGCCGGAGGAGCGGGCTCTCCGCCCTCGACGGCGCCCTCTGCCCCCTCGGCTGGTGGTGGCGCCTCGCCCTCGGCTGGTGGTGCGCCCTCAGCTGGTGGTGCTTGTGCTTCATCGGCCATCTCTGCGCTTTCTCAATGCAATTCCCTGCAAAGTACAGCGAAAATATGGAGCAAACGTTAGTCATCGACCAGGTATGTAATCAAAATCAATAGTGCTTTTATCAGTTTAACTGATAAATATTTTTATACATGTTTATCAATTATATTTGCGTATGGATCAAAGTAGTATAGTACTACTTAAATAAGTAGAACCATTTTTAAGGAAAGTTATATTTAAAAAGTTTGTATCCGTGATAAGCAAACCATTAAAATACACACAGCTAAGTATTTCATCTCATGGCGAAATAGCTTTGGTTGTTTTTCTAGTTAGTTCCCGGTTTTGTTTATGTTTGTTGAAATTCTGAACTAAGCTAATCAATAGATAGCCTGTTTTTTGTGATAAGCAGAACGTGACAAATGTTTGTAGTTGAAGAGGCTCAGAAAATGCGTAAAAGATAAGGATAGTAAAAGGTTCATAAAACTTATACGGTTTCACGATAAAGAAGTCCTAGATAATTTTTAGTGCAAACAAAGCGTACTAAGAGCCGTTGGGGGTATACTGATATAATCTGGTAGTTAAGATTTGGTCTGATTTGAAAGCCATGTTTGCTCTCCACAGTTATTTATTTGCTGGCCTTATTCGGTGGCCTCTCAAGAATAATGCAATAAATCAAGCGCAGTCAAGGCAAGAGTCGACAGAACAGATAATTACCATAAAACTGAAAAATACACATGTATATATAGTAAGAGTATTTCCCTATAGACCCGAGCGGAAGTGCATTGATTGTCCCACAGACAACACACCCACACATCAAAGAAACTGGCACCACTCCTCCGCCCATCTGCCCACTTTTCTCCCCCTTTTTTTGTTTTTTGCCGAGTCGCGCAAAAGTCAGGCTCAATATCTTTCGGGGCGTTGGCGCTGCTTGAAGAATCGGAGGAGAAGGTGGTAGGAGGAAGACGTACGGGTAATACGCCCCTGTTTCCATTGTAGTCGACACTTTTTGCCTGGCTGGATAAATATTTAAACGTGGGATAGGATCCATGTGGAACGTAAACCAGTTTCAGTGCAGTACAGCTGAAGTATCTTCGTGTCTTGCCTTTGCCATCGGATTTTGGCAGGGCGCCCAGTCAGTCACCAAGATTCCGCCCCCCTCCCCTCGTTTAGTAATGCCCGATTGGCCGCCTCTTCCGCTGCAATTTTCGCTTTCGGAGAGTCTCAAATTGCAACAATCGATTCGACTTTTCGGCGTTATCTTCTGCCCCTCTGTAGCGCACTTGTTGCCATGACAGCTTCAATTGAATTTAATTTGGTCTGTCTCTGTGTTTCGGTGTCATGATTTAATTCAATTTCGATTTGCTGATCTATTTTGGCTCTTTGATCTGGCACTTTGGCACTAAATTCGAGGGAAATGGTTTCACTTTAATCGTGGGAAAAGGTTAGGGCAGCTAATGACGCCAAGATTATTCAATCCATGGGAAAGGGCAGGGATCTCAGTGGGTCAAGGACCCATGGAAACGGTGGAATACGTCAATGGCACTTAATCACGTGCACCCGGCCATATGGGCAACTTTCCGAGATGAACTGGGCGATCGGGTTATCACTAGAATTCGAAAGTCTGGGACCCCTAGTCCCCAGGCATTCACTCCATTATCAGTTCGGAAATATTACTGTTTATTTGCTTTTGTCTCTAATTTTTTTAATTTCAACTTTTCTCTTTGGAAAGGTATTGATTGGGGTTATATAAGCCTGCGTTTTGATAAGGTTCTGATTCTGAATATGCACCGCACTCAAGATGGTTCCGATTCGAGTACCTCACGCTTCGAAATACGTTCACGCACTCCACGGTCGACGGAGGTGCTATGGTCGTTTCTATATCTTATTCCGATCTGATCGGCTCTGAAGAGGCAGAAGAAGAGGGCTTCTAGTCGGTCGGTTCACGTCGTTGTCCTTCACATATTTGCTTGCGAGCGGGGCGAGAGATCCGCGCGAACTGCGATTCTGCGAAACGAGTTCAAAACTTTTCGATTTCGAATCGATTGACCCAAAAATCAAAATCAATCGAAGCCAAAAAACCATTGTGTGTAATTTTAGAACCGAACCGAGACGAGCACTGTTCGGCTTCGAAGTTCGCAAAAGCGTTTTCCAATTTTTGGCAAGGGTAAAACTTTTTGTGTTGTGTGCGGCTGAGTGCGTAAATTACATCATAGAGAGTTCTACGAAATTGGAAGGTTCCAGGAGGAGGAGGAGGAGGAATCGAAGGGCTTACCTCGGGAAAGAGTCCAAAATTAGCAGTGGCACACGGGCTCTCAGTTCTTCAATTTGCCAATTAAGCGTTGGTTCCGCACTCTCTCTCCGTTACTCTCACTCTCCGCTAAAGGGGAACGCTTTCACTCACTGAACCGATCGGCGCCACAATTGCACAGCAACTGACTTTCTTCGTCGTCGGGCGCTGCTTTTATACACTCCCCACTCGCGCTCTCTGCGAAGTTCTTACTCTCTTCCAAGCTTGCAAGCCGGCCGGTTAACTGGAAAGAGGGAGAAATTTAAGTATGCTCTCTCGCCGGCTGGTTTTAGTGGGCGTTGAAAAGGAAACGCAGTTAATGGAATCAGTTAGCATATTTAACCAGTTATTGGGTTCGTTCTTCTTCTTGCGCTCTTTTAATAGATGGAATGCAATATTCCAACAAGCTCGGCTTCCTAATTTGGCAATTACTTTTTATAAGCAACAGTATAAACCTCGCTCTCAGTTCTTATTTTTAGTTCTCTCTGCCATCCTAATTCTTCTCGTTTTTGGAGAGATCCAAGCTTATTTCAATTGTAAACCAATTATAGTAGCAAAAATTAAGGTAGTAAATATTTGTTTGTGCTTTTAATGGACGAACCTTGAAGATAGATTAAACAATGAAAACTAAATAGCGGAGGATGTGAGATGTGGCAAATATTTAAGACATATTTTCACAAACAACTTTCAGAAAGAGACCTTTCAATATTTAATCTATTATTTAGGAAAGGCTATTTTAAAGTCTTTTTTATCACTTTTTCCATTTCATAACAATTCAGTTTTTATTTACTTTTTACTGATCATAAAAAAGTAATATAAAGTTAATAATAATATTTAATAGTTTTCGCATTATAACCATCCAATTATCTATTTTAAAGTTATATCCTATCTTTTTTTAACATACTTCTCCTATCAAAGGTATTTGTATTGGAAAAAGTATATTAAGTTAATAGCTTTCTGCTCCTATTATAGCTTAAACAATTAAAATAACCAACGACCAGGTCCTCTACAATATCCCATCTTATCCATTTTGGAACATTCCTTCCCCATCTTATCAAAATCCTCCCACATTTGCAGGAATTTTCGTCGCATAAGGGCAAAATCAAATGGCTTCTATTTCTATAAACAGATAGTGGGAAATCGGCAATTAAAGCAGCCAGGAAATTTGAAACGCCCAACATTCGATGGCGGTGCCCTGGACTTTGCTTCAGATCGATCTCAACTGGCGGTGCCTGGCGACGAAATTCGAGTGCGTCTAAGATGTTTACTTATGTGGGAAGCATCAGGTTCACTTTGCAGGGTTGTCAGCTTGTGGAGATTATATAAATATAATTTAATACTATCATATGCCGATTCTCAAAAGAATTATCAACTTAGGTTGCGCCACTTACCACATTTGCATTCGGTTCCCAATTTTAAAATTACTTTCTATCTACTGTGAGACCCATACTTTTAAAACATATTTTAATGATGGCAAAAGGTTTGATTGAGGTATTTACTATGAGTAATATTTATACCTGTCATTTATAATTCTTTTTTATATGTAAAAAATCAAGTCTATTTTAATTTATTTAAATTTAACTGACAGAGTAACGGCTACAAGCTAAATAATTTAAAACAATTATTTGATGTCTGGCAACACTGAATATGGTTGCGGTATTGGATAATGGGGGATAGGTTTTAGACCGTATCAGGTAACAAACTCGGCTAGGTTCTTTGCGCTGCAGAGAGAACAGGCGGCGAATTTAAAAATAGGGCGAATTTAAAAAGTAGCGCGAGCTTCTAGATAAATTAACTTTAAGAACAGTACAAAAATAGCACCCGGAAAAATAACTTAAATTTCTACTTGAAAACCACAATTGCCATCAAAAAATATCTGAGTTAGGAAACAAATTTTATACATTTATACCTTCCATGGCCAATAAAAGAAGTTTGAGCCCTTAATTTAACTGTGAAAGAAAAACATAGAACCAGTAAGATTGAGTTTAAAACTTTGCAACACTTCCAACATAACTCGAACCACAACTGTCATTCAATTTAAAAAGACTCCAATCTATAAAATACATTTTATTTGCATTTATATACTTTATTGCCAATTATACAAGTTTGACTTATATGGACTTAATATATCTTTTAAATTAAACAATTTGTTATCTAAAAACTTGATGAAAAGTATTATGCACTGATAGCCAATGTGATTCCCACACTTCCCAGGTTGTACCTACTCAATCTTGGGCTTTACCCAATGGAGTCCAATAAAACGCAATCGATTTCACCAGCTTGCAAAAACATGGGACTCCCACAATTGGGGGAAGGTATTTCATGCGATTCGGCCACTTTTCGTGTTGGCCGGGTGCAGAACGTTCGAAAATGTGCTTAGATAGGCAAAACGGTGCAAAGTAACAAAACAGAAAGAGCAAAAAAGCCCCAGAAAACTGAGCCCAGAGTTCTCGGAGAATCAAGCCAAAATCCACAGCAAATGACCGATTTGTGGCCTTTAATGCGACGGCGTGTATTCAGCTCTGCGTTTTGTGTTGGCGGTTTCGATTGCGAGTAGACCTCGTTTGATAAGATATGGCAATCGCTACCGATAGGGCAGACATTTCAAACTCGCTGACGAGTGCATAATCGAGTGGAGCAGGTGAAGAATATATGACAAATCACAGCGAACTCACCGTCCAAGTTTTTCCCGGGATTGAAAAGTCCGAAGTTTACCAGTTAGTCAGGGAAATTTTCGGTTCGTTTTCGATTTTGAAGTTGGTTTGCCAGACTGCCTGGTTGAGGGGGAATTTTCTCCGCATTCTTTGTGATTTCTTTCTTGGCGCAGAGAAATAAACTTCATGCACTGACAAAAATAAATGCGTAATGTAAAGTAATTACTATTAACTGATCTTATTCAAATTTAAAATTTAATAAGATAGAAACTAAAATGTATTATGAAATTTACACATGCAAATGTAATATGCCTATTGCTTTTTTAAACTTTTCATTAGAATAAATTATGATCTAATATTTAAAGAAAAAATTTTGTTCAACCTAACTTTATATTTTGAAAAATGCTAAGGGAAAGGAGTTAAATTATAACTGTTCATTGTCTAAAACACAAACACCTTGTTTTGACCGATCTAAAACTAGAACCATGGCGCGAACTACTGAAAATGACATTCTGTGAAATTAAAATTTATATTAGGCAGCCTTAAAACCACTTCAATTGTTTCCGGTGTGGCCTGGACTAATTAAGAATTTATGCCGCCTGCGATTGCACTCCAGAAATAAAAGGCAGGCCGCAGAATGAAGGCGTGGCTGGCGGAATTATGACAATAATTTGCTGTGGAAAATGCGACACAGAACGGAACCGCTAAGCGCGAGAGAGCAATCTAAATAATAAAAAGGCGAGCGCATAAAAAAATTATAACTAACTCGGCAGGCAAACAGTTAAAACCAGACGGCGGGAAGGGGGAAATATACAGATACATATGTATGTCTGTCTGCCTGTCTACATGTGGCTAGAAGGAGAGAGAGAGAGAGACTTTGGCCAGATCGCGAGAGGCGATAATTCTCGCACTTGCTGCACTGCGAATTCCGCCGTCAGTGCGAATTCAAATGCGCAGGTGAGCGAACGTAACCGCCCGTCGCTCAATTATCGTACTTATTCGGCGATCGCTGCCAAGAACGGTGTTCAACCAAAACAGCCAACATTGCGTATACGCAGCGTGTGCCGTGACCTTAAGCCAAGCCAAACCGATAAAAAGCCAACCATGTAAGTGCCAAAATTGGCAAGTGAGTACGAATGCCAGATACTGAAGAAGTGAAAATTAAAATTGAATAAACGTCTGCACGCGCTTACAAAACTGTATCATTAACACGTGCCCACAAATTATGAACTGTGCGAAACCTGAAAATCAAACTCTAATTGAAATCAAAAAAAAAAAACGATAAAATGTGACATTTCTCTGGAATAAGTTCGGCTGTAAAGCTGTTTTAGAACTCGTACCGAGTCGTGTCTGTAACGAGCGGTTTTCCCACTTTTAGCCATTATTCTGTTTGGCCTTATCTTTGTAATCGGCTGACTAAACAGTAACACGGCGATAGAAACTCTATTTTGTTAGCTGACTTTGCTGATGGGAGAAATAAGTATCATCAAAATGTGGCTCAATTCAAGGTTCCCATTTAATGTATATCTATTTGTTTACCTATTCTCTATCGATTTGATTTGATAAACATCGTTTAGATAGGAAAAGAAAAAAATTCCCCGTTCATGAGTAAGGAAGTTAATTAATGGGCTCCGAAAATACCACCAAGTGGCTTTAAAACTCATTCAAATTTTAGAAATGCGCGATAAGGTGAGGGCGGAATGGGCAGAGATAACGTGGTGAATCAGAAAATGATCGACGAGGAATTACCCAAACAATTCAACTGAAAATTGAGAGTTGCCATGCTTCACTGATCTCGCAACAGCAATTCACTGTTTGTAAAGAGTTTATTGTGTGTTTTAGATTATCTCCAAAGCCATATACCCTTTGTTGCACTGGAGTTGAAAGGTAGCCAAAGTCAAACACAATGGAACTTGCATGTGACGACGCTAACTGCCCAATTAAGCGGCTATAACCAGTTTGCGGTCTATTAATAACGATTGAAAAATCCCCTAAGAAGCCTGAAGCTCTATTAGCAGATTAATTCGTTATCGTTACCTATATACCAGAAATATTGGGCTAGGATCACGTAATGACAAAAAAACACTCAATGAGTCAATGTTAATAATAAAGATTTATGTTATAGTTTAGGACAGTGGAACTGCACTTTCCGATTGCAGCAATAAAACAGTTTTATAACCCCAACACAAATATGAGACCCCTTGATTAGATAAAAAACAAACAATTGGAACTATATTCGCAAAAGTCAGCCATCAGGGTGTTTGAACTTATCTAACTGGGTCATAACTACGCTAAAATATCATTTTTAGCCTCCGTTTAATGCAAGACTGGGATACATTAGTTTGATTAAAAAAGAATCGCTTTTAGATCTTTGAGGACAAAGTATTTATTTAAGATACATTTGTTCAAAAATACATTTATCTTCTGCCAGATTTGAAATAGTTTTTCTTGTCTTTAGAACCCTGAGGGAATAGCAAAAATTCCGTTCCAAGTAATTCCGAAAATATGTCGAATGCTCCCCAGTTTTTTAAGAAGAAATCGTACATTGTACATTGTAATGCTTTTGATACGGACACATTCAAATGGGGAGCTATTCCGGAATCGAAAGGTTGCATTTCTGCGACTTTTTCTACTTTCTTTTGTTCAAGGGAACTTCGTACTTCCTCCTCTATCAAGCCGTTCACTCTTCATCTGCTTTTTGTCGTGCCTCATTTGCGGTTTCGAGTGCTTTGTACTTGTTTTTGCTCAAATAAAACAGCAGAAACGGCAAACTTAACGTCACACATAATTAACTACACACAGAATGCCTCCCTTTCCCACCCAAAGCAATCCGATTTGGCTCTCTCTTTCCGTCACGAACCTCCGACAACTTGACGTCATTTGTCATAAAAATAAATCTGTTCTATCTCATAGTTAAATTCTATGTAAATATTTGAGCATCTGCATAGGTGGGGGATTCAAATTTGAATTAAAAGAAAATGCTTGGTAAGCGGCATATATCGTTTTCGTGGGGTTATATAAAGTTAATTTATAATCGTTCTTCTAACTTAATGATAGATTTTTGGAAGCTTCTTTAAGAACAACTATTCAAACCTCAGACTTAGTTAATATTTAATTTTTCCCACTATTTGTATATTCAAGGTTTTATGTCGGATTTCCTACTCGCTAATGATACAAATCCCTTGTCAAAATTTGAATTCGCTTTCCGTCAACATTTTGCCCCCTACATGTCTAATTAGTTGTACTTTAATACTTTATTTATAATGCTTCGACGATAAATCGCTTTAATTACAAATTTCTGTTTTGCAGCGCAATAAAGCGACGAAAAAAGAATCGAAAGCAAGGCGAAACAGCGCACCAGTCGACGCCAACACAAACAGAGAGATACTTATACGTGTTCCAACGCAAAAAAGCTAAAACAAAAAAAATTCAAAATAAGATAAACATTATATACACTTGGCGGTGACAAAAAGCCAAAAGTAAATAGCTGCTCGCGAACACTTAATTCAACTGGAGCGGCGGGTGAAAACTGAGAAGCCAAAAATTGGCCCAGAGAACCCACGATAATGAGGTGAAGTGGAAAACCCACAGACGGAGAGACCCAGGAAACTCGAGGAAAGAGCCACCCAGCCAGGAGATAAGGCTTATCGGGAGAGGAGACCCCCACAATGGCCGACGAAGATCTCAGCCCGCTGCCCTTCCGCCGGGAGCGCAATCTCAGCAACAGAAACTTTAACAAGAGAACCTCGCGCCGCCGGATCAGCCAACAGGCGGCGGAGCAGGAGCGGCATAGCAGCGCGCTCGGCAGTAGCGATCCGGAGCCCGTCGACGCCGCACGGAGAGACAGCCCCGCGAGCAGCTCCAGCTCCAGTTCGTTCCAGCTCTCGTACTCCGTTAATTCCGACACGGAGAGCGCCTTCCACCGCCGCTCGCTGCTCAAGATGCACGAGGCGGAAAGCGGAGGAGCAGTGGAGGTCACCACGGAGTCGCCAGTGTCACCAGAGTCACCAGGGACTCCCACCCCCGATCCCGCCCTCCTGGATGTCCGGCAGAAGGTGCACCGCTTCGAAACGCTCAAGACAAACATCATCTTTCTGAAGCAGGAGCGGCACAGCCTCAAGTTGCTGGAGAACCGTCGTCATCCCTCCTTCGAGGATTACTCCGCGGATCATGGCACGCCTCCGGCCACGCCCCCGCGTCGCATACGCCTCCTGGGGCTGGGCAGCAGTCGCAGTAGCTCCATACCCAGTATTCAAGGCCGGGAGAGCATCCACGAGGTGCGATCCGAGGACGAGGTAGATCAGATATCGGACTTTGAAACGGATCCACATGCAGCCGGCGAGGAGTATGTGATTTCGGACACCACCTCGGAGGTCATACCCAGTCGGGAGGTCGAGGAGTCCAGTGCCCAGCAGCAGGTGCAGCGTTCCATTAGCGCGGATCCATCCAAAGCAGGGCACACATTGTCGCTAAAAATGCGCAACGATTTCCCCAGGTAAATGTTTAGACAGTGATAAACCTTATCGGGCAGGGGGGGGATTTGAAATATGGTTGACAAACTATCAGGTGCAGCAGTGTTTGAACTCCCTTTTATTCAAATATCTTCTTTTGAATAAATATTTAAGGTGCGCAATGGAAAAAGTTTGCATAAAGGGTTAAAACAGGGGAGTGACTTTTGGATTGATAAAGCGATAAAGAATACGGATATTATCAGGAGTGTCGATTATATAAGGTGTGTGATTTTATAATGTGTTATCTTGCACATAATAGATAACTATTTATTAAAAGCTTAATTACTTTACTTAGAAAATCTTTTTAAAAAAGGTTAAATATTTTAAACGAAGAGTATAACAGCGTCAGTGCTTGTTTTTATTTTAGTAGTTATTAATATGAAAATTATTTCTGTATAAGCAATTTTAATTTATTCTATATAGCCTATAATTTGTTGATAACACATATATAAGTAAAAGTTGTGAAAAGTCTTCCAAACTACGCCTTGTATACAGACCCGCAGAAAATAATATTTCCGGTTTTTTCAGAAATTGTTTGTTGTTCGTGCAGTTTAATAGACTTTCTCAGTTCAGTGATAATATTTGTCGAGTCCATACACTGAGAAGTAAATAATCAGTGGGCAATTACTTAATGTAAAGCTTTTGCTAGCTCTAACTTGGCAGGGTTCTATGGAATAAATCCGCCTGTGGCCTTCCTCCAATCTTAGGTAACTAGATTTCGCGGCCGCTAAGCTTCCTTTTCGGTGTGAAAATCAAATTATGTGAGTTTGCCCATAAAGACCGACTCGCACTGTCGAAACTTAATTGGCAAAGTGTTAATTGAGTTTTGGAGCATTTCCGCCAACCGGTTCGACAGTGAAAATGCCAAAAAGTAGCTCCACAACGGAGGATAGCCAGACCGAAGCAGAGCAGGCATTTCGTTGTTAATTCTAGTTTCTAGTTTTGAGAACTATGCCAAAAAGCGTAAAATGTATCTATGGGAGTCGGGTGCCTTGAAGCCTTTCCAGCCAGAGCATGGATGACCCCGAGAAGGACGAGGAGCAGAGCCGTTTGCAGACTCAGAATCCTGGAGCAGATCTTGATAGCCAAATCTCCGAGGAGGCGCTGCAGGAGCGCGAGGAGCGTTCCACAACCTATAGAGCGGGCAGAGTGGGCGTTTCCCAGGGCACGGACACCAAGGACGATCCACTTCCGCCGCGGAAAAAGAAAAAGATCCCACCAGCGGTGCCGGTGAAGCGGCATTTGGGTGACACTGAATCCCAAACGGACGGAGGAAGTGCCGACAGTGTGGCGAGTGCTCCCCGCTCCCGACGCTCGATCAGATCCGCCAGCAGTGAACTGCCCTCCAGCTCCCGCTCCTCTCACAAAGGCGAAGGAACACCCCGAACCCAATCCTTAGATCGCGATGGCCGCTCCTCTCAAGAAGAACGCAAAAAAAGGAGCAAGAAACTCAGTCGACGCATTGACTACGATACGGTTGAGGTCCTGAAACAGGGAGAAACGGAGGACGAGAAGGACTCCCTATCGGGTGGCGCCTCCTTCCACTGGCGCATGTCGCAGTCCTCGCTGAATGTGCAATCGATGGATGGCTGCGTCTCCGGGGTCTGTACCTCCAGCTCAATCCCTTGCAGACTAACTGCCAACTTCGCAAAGTCCTTTTCAGCTGACGGGTTTCATTGTGACCGCCTTGGCCATGGGTCTGCTCATCATGATCTCCTGGTTCATCATCTCGCAGCTGGACTTCATTCTGATGGTGGTCACCTGGACGGCCAAGTCGTTGGAGGAGTCCATGCTCATATTCAAAGAGGAGAAGGAACGACCTCGCGTGGAGAATCCGCGGGTGGGGGATTTCCGTGGATGAGGCCTCCGAAATGGAGTCTCTGACTCACTCAGGCAAACATGTATGCTCTTGGCATTATCTAGGCCCGTTTTCAGCTGCTTAAAGGTTGCCACTGGTCTTATCACCGGACCCCTCCAGCTGACTCATGCGATGGCCACCGTCGAGGGGGTTTATCTAAACAGCTATCAGCTATGTTGTTATTGGCGGGGGTGTTATTTCCATTAAGCCAAAGATAACTGGTACTTTACAATGCCTATTTTAATGCGAACCCTAATCTCTCTTCCTCCCTAGAAACTATCGCTCCACGCCGAGACGAAAGACTGAAATCATTGGCACCACCAACGAGCATGTGGTGGGCAAGTTTCACTCGGTCTATCACCCAAAAGAGGAGTGAGTATTAATCTTTTGCAATGGCATTTAACTCAATTCTATTTTGATCCCATTAAAAATACTGCATATCATTGTAATTATTATTCTTTTCTTTGGAATTTCTTACTAAATGATATCCTTTTCCTGCTTTCCAGAGAGGAGGAAGTCGAGATCGAGCTGCGCGACAAGAGCGACAAGTGCGTGCATCCTATTCTTGAGGAGCTGATCAAGACGGAGGAGGCCTACGTGAACAACCTGTTCATGGGCATCGAGAACTATGGAAACATCTTCCAGCGCAAGGATCTGCCGCTTGGCCTTCGGGGCAAGAAGTACGATCTGTTTGGAAACATCGAGCAGATCGCCGAGTTCCATCGGGATGAGTTTCTGCCCATGCTGCAACGTAATCGTCGCGATCTGAAGCGTTTGTTCGACGAGTTTCTGCAGTTCCTAGACGTGAGTTTTTAGCAAATCGCTGAATTAACGACCAGAAACTTAATTCTATTTGTATTTTCCAGCAAAACTGCTTTTATGGATATGTTATCTTCACCATGAACAAGCAAAAGTCCCTCAAGCTGTGCGATCTCTACAAAAATTATTTCACTGTGAGTTGTGTAATGACATATTTAGTGTAGTGATTTACTATATTACTCGCTTTATTTTCTAGAGTATTCGCCTGGAACGCGATGATAAGTTGGGCATTAATAGCTTTCTGGTTCAACCTATCCAGCGCATGGCACGTTACCCTTTGCTCCTGACGCAATTCATTAATGTGAGAAAATCTTAAATAGAAAAAAAGGGTCAAGTATACTAATAGTTTATTAATCTTCTCCTAGACCTTCTTTAAGAACCGTGATATAGTGATGAAGCCACTAATTGAGTCCTGCTGTCGACTGGAGAAGCGTCTGCGTTTCCTGCTGACCACCACCAATGAATCGGAGATCATCAATGACATAGTGGACTGTCATGAGGTAGCAATTAAATATACAGCTTACCTCATACGAGTTCTCTAACTTCCGCTACTCACTTACAGTTCAACGTCTACTACCAGGGCAAATTCCGCAAGGTGAACGAGTTCCAGGTGATCGATCACAAGCTGAAGCGCAGCTACAGGAGCAAGGTTTTCATTTTCGACAAGTGCATCATCTACACTGAGATCAAGGGCAAGAACCTGATCTTCCACGGACGTTATCCTTGCGAGCACATTGGCATCTCGGCCAAGACCAAGTCTTTTACGCTCTACTACGAGCGCAGGAAGCAGCAGGAATGTGAATTCACCGCGGATCCGGCGCAGATTGCCGCCTGGCTGGACTTAATCCGGGACATGATCAACAACTTTGCGAACGAGGAGCGCCAGAAGCTGCAGGAGCGCTATTCCCGAGAGAACGATCACCTGCATCGCAAGGCACCCAGTTTTTCGCTATATCGCGACTCGAATCGTTTTAGTTCGGACAGTGGAATTGGTAACATCTGGATAATGCCAAAACCAGACGAAGAGACAATCAGCAATAGGACCACTTGGTATGCGGCCACTTCGTAAGGCACAACAAGATTGTGAGACATGAAGAGGATCTTCTTCAGGTTAAGGGTAACCGGCAGTTCTGAAGTGATACAGGGGGAGCCCAATCCCTTGCTATCTGCAATTGTCTATGGCGGCCAATTTTTAAGGGCCTCTAAGCCAAGCCAAGTCAAATTCGAACTTGTTTCAAATTCCTGCTTATCTTATGTGGCAAAAGAAAATCCGAAACATAAATGTTTTGATTTGAATGCTAAATAACCAAATATTGAATTATAAGTTTAGTTGGTTAATTAAGTTGTATATATTCCTGTATTATTGTTGTCACAAATGGCAATTCGTTAAACGTTCTCTTGTGCCTAGCTTCTTAAGCTTTTTTTGTTTTGTGTAAATATTGACTGTAGGTAATGTTTTATAAAAACTGTAGAGAAAACGTTTTAAATAAATGAAAAATTATGAAAAGTAGATGAAATTGATTTTTTCTAATCCAATGAGTATGCGACACAAAGTATTAAATACAACTAAAGTTGGAATAAATTGATGAATATAATTATAATAATACTTGTTTACAACTCTCAAGCGTTTTCGTAAATAATTTGTAATACAGATAGTACTACATTCATTGAATCAGTCACCAAAATTGTAATTACAATTCATAAAGGAACATATGATTCTGATTATATTTTTATCATTAATTCCCGCAGTTATTCATTAAGCAAATATTTGTGTACAATATTTTAGAAATATCTGACATTTCCTTCCACTTTTTGCCAGCCGAATCACACGCTTCGGAGACGTCAAAACAAATGAATCTATCGTGGAAAGGTCGCACGCCATCGGCGTTGTCATGAGAACCAGACGTGAGGCAGCTGTTATGGATCCCTTGCCCGAGATCCCCGACCTCCAGCCACCCACCATCCATCCATCCATCCCATCCACCTCATCACTCTTGATATTGTTAATGATACGAAACGCAATACTCAAAACAACTTGTTTCTGACTGGCACTTGCAGCCGCCTGTGACATCACTAAGAAAATGTATAAAAATAAACAAATGGCGCATATAAATAAATATAGGCAATTATTATTGTTTGCCTGCTCGACCGCCCCGATCTCCGCTGAATCTTGATCATCCGGCTTGTAGCTCATCAATCGCGCCCAGAAGTGCTCGATGTTTATTTATAATTCCCTCAGTTTTCGCAGTCTCATCAAGAAATTCTTTTGATTTCAATTGTTTTAAAAATCAATTGTATATGTCAATGTATAAAATGTGAACAATTTTACTTGTGAAATTCGCAAATGCAAATGACAATTATCGGTTTTCCGGTGATCAGCATGAGATCATCACTTTAGAATTTAGTACTCGCACTCTTAAACGTCAAATGAGAGGGAAACCCATTAGGATTTTAGTGTTTCTGCACAATAACTATTCGATTTCTGATTTATAACTCAATTCGGAGAGTGCCCAAACCAGATAAACCAAAACAAAAGGCAACCAGTTCGCTTGCCCCCAAAAAGTTCAAGGCGAAATCGAAGCTTGTGATTATAGGTAGTGGCCATAATAATAGTTATTGCCGGCCATTAACCGAAGCCCCTCTAATTGATATGCAAATATGGAACCATAAACGATTAAATGGCATTAAAGCCTTATGATGAAAGCAAAAGTGTTACAGACTTAACTGAATTCCGTTCCAATGCCAGAAATGATTTTCACAGTTTTGACTTATATCTGATGTTTACAAACAAAGTGCTCGGCGCGTGGTCGGCTATAGCTTTTTATATCGAAGAGAATCTGAAGAAAAGAGAACGATCCGATGGAGCTTTCGAAGCTTATTCACAGTGTGCCAATGCTCAGCGCGATTTTCGCTCAGTCGAGTTTCGCGTTTGATTCGCTGCGGATCGGTGTCGGAATATTGTTGGCCATATATAGTGCAAGTTTTGCCATCGATATGCGTCGAATTCGTCGGCGGTTAAGTCTATAGAAAGCTGTGAAAAAAACGAAATCAACCATTATGGAGTTGACAATACTAAATTGGTTCGATGTGATTTCCGTGGCGCTGACTTTTCTGGTGATATTCCTAGTGCAAGTGCTCAACGTTTATTTGCATATACTCGACGATAATGTCGATAACGCCAAGTCGATCGATGTGGTTGATAAAGCCCTCGCGAAAGAATGTCCAGTACTGGAACCCGTAGCCATAGCCACCACCACTCCTCCGAAATCCCCGACATTGGCCAACGGAAAGTTGGAGAAGCAAATAAGTCTGCTGGATAACGATAGGTAGGGCTGAGCCTTAACCCTTTGTTTGCCCGTGTTTTGTTTGAACGTGCCTCTCCATCTGACAGCTGCTTACTGTTTTTCCATCGAATTTAATGTCCATTATTGAATGTCCGACCTTTGGCTTGTTTCACCGCACTTAATGTGCGTATACGTGATAAGATAACGCATACGCCCCGGTTATTTTAAGCCTTTTCACGGTAATCGCTGTCGGGAGTGGCTGAGTTCATGACATGCATTATAAACTTGTTACCAAGATAACAATCTGATTTCAGAAAGCGCAGTATTTTTATCTTAAGAGTTTAAGTTTTTAGCACAGAAAGGAAGTTGTCAAAAGATTGCATGTACAATAAAGATTTTTACTGAGGAAATGGGCTATCTAAATCATAATTGTTATAAAAATGTTGTTTTTATATTTGCGGGTGTTCCCTTGCAGTCTATAGCTAAATTCACTAAAGATAAATTATATAAATTAATATACGTATTTCCATAAATTATATAAATTAATATGTAGTTCCCCTTTTGTTTTGTGAACAAAATCCCACAAGATTACAGACTGCCAATTAGAGAAGTACACATGTTCGGGTTTTAGATTTTATTTTGTTTTCATATTTCCATGCTATTACACCCAGCACACTTTCAAGTGTTCCTCATTCACGGCTTGTTGCTATCGTGTTTTCGTACTGTTCTGTTTTCCAGCGGCATCTCATTGAGTTCCATCAACACCTGTTCAACAACTGCAGCGAACTCATCTCCAACATACCGAACACACAATGGCTTCCACTCTTTTCCCTCGCACACGCTCAGTTTCGAGACCCTGGGCGATGAGTAGTAAGTACAATCGAAAAGGTCACACTCACCCTAATTATCGGTTTATTGGTAATTGATTTGGTAATTAACTCTTGACCACCCACCTCTAAATTGACCAGCCACGAGGACGAGGATACGCTGTCGCTGGAGAATCTGTTTCCCTGCGACCAAACCGAGATCTATGCCTCCAAGAAGATCAGTTTCATCATTGACGAGCTCATCCAGACGGAAGTGAACTATGTGAACAACCTGAAGAAGGGAATGCTGAACTATGGGAAGCTAAAGGATGTGGAGGATCTGCCAGAGGGACTAAGTGGCGATGCGAAGCAGAAACTGCTGCTGGGCAATGTCGAGGAGATCCTGGAACTCCATGAGCAGGAGATCCTGCCACTCATGCTGCGCAACCAGCGGGATCTCAAAGGTCTTTTCGATGAGTTTGCCGTTCACTTCGAGGTGAGTTGAGGGGTTTGTTAGTATAAAGAGGGGCTAAAGAAGTGTTGCGTGGGATGGGTTCATTAGCCAAAGTCGTGTCGTTTAACCAAGTAGCCGTTGGACAGGTTCCGACATCTCATCTATCAAAATTCTTTTGTCTTCTTTAGGCACTCCAAGTGCCTAATTTCAACCTCAAATATTTACACATATCAGCGTAGATAGATCTTTTTTTTTTAGATTTTTTGTTGTGCCACCTTGACACCTGCGATTGGTGTCTCGTTTCTTTATTACCTTTTGCCTTGTCAAGCATTTTTACTTTTATTATTTTTAGCCTGAGACTCGTGTTTCAATGCAAATGAAGCGAACGTGGGTTATGCAAACTCTGCCAGAATTTAAATTGATAATAGTATTTATTTTTACCAGTACTTAAGCTCACACCTCGCAGCAAGTGTGTCACCAAATTCATTCATATTCCTCAGCATGTCTTGTATAAATTAAATTATAGATTTTCACAAGAAATATTTACCCCTGATCATTTGCAGAATGACGAATGGGCTGGCTTAGTGAAGTCCCCAGATAAGATTGAAGTAATCAGTACCGCAATAATAGAAATAAAACACTCACTCAGGCAAAAAGCTCGCACTCTGTTACGAAAATCAGTTAAATTGCTAAAGCAAACACACATTATTTTGTATTTTACGTCTGGGCTGGGGTTCCATTTGCCGGCAGCTGACGTCATCGGTTCTCGTGGGGAGAGTCGACAATAAGTATCGTACATTATCTTACATATAGCTATAGGAATGCCCAAATCATCTCGTTAAGAGTACTCGCTCGGAATGATTTTTCGGGCCACTAGAGAATGGCCATGTGGCCATGTCGACTTAAGTGTTGACAACGCAAATGATCAATTTAAATTGAAATTGTCTGAGGCCTGTGGAATTCTTCGTCGGGCGGTCGCCGTTCTCTTATGTCATTCCCGAGTTCCCAGAAATCCCGAAAATAAATTAAAGAAGGAGTACAGTGAGTGGAAAAAGTCTGCCAGTTTCCAAAGCAGGTAACATTCTTTTTGAGCTCCCCGAGGATTTGGCATCTTAATGTTCGACAGACATGCTAAGCCCCTGGGATCTGATTTATGCTGCTCTTTTCTTTTCCTTTCCCCGAAACCACTTTGCATTCTTTGTTGGCCAAACCAAACAAACATTTCTGACTCAGAGGACCAGAGGCAGGCGAAAATTTGGCTAAATATATCATAAAAACGCTCATGATTTGTTTATACATATTTTCTAAAATTTTACTTTTCCCTGCTCAGATTTGGCAGCATGCTGTATAAACAAAAGACGCGCACACAACTTGTTGATATATATAACCCGATGTTATGGATTTCCTCTCAGACTCGTCGTCGTTTGCAAATTAATGGGGCTTTTCACAAGCAATTGCCAAATCGATTTGTTCTGACATCAATTGATGTTGCGGCTGAAGAGGCCCAGAATTGATTTATGTTCAGACCTTGTCCAGCCAGAGATTTTGAATCGGTTTTTGGTCTCGAAAACCCACAAATGCCCGAAGAACCGACCATAAATAGAGTCGCCTTCATTTATTAATCGGCTTTAAATGGCCAAAAACATCGAGTGACAAGCGTGTCGATCAAACTTCTCACCCTCAAATCAAATCGAAAATCAATTAAAAGTTTTACCACATTCGGATGGATATTTGAGTGGTCGAAGGGGATGGGGAACTTCAGATTGATGCAATCGATTTGGCGATCTGAATTCTCGAAGAGGAAAACAAACGAAGATCATTTTGATGGGGAAGCCTCTGAGGGCTATAAATTGTATTTATACAGCTGTGTTCGAACGAATAATAAAACTACTTCCAATCACTGGCATATCTTCTTTAAATAAAACCCTTAAAATTTATAATAATGACCTTCTTTGTTGCATTTTATCAGCTGTCACCTGTACAAATTAAATACAATTACCCCAGAACCAATTGGTTTTGTACTGCTAATACTTTGAACACAGCTGTACATGTGAGTTTAATGGCTTTAATTTGTATGTATCAGCAATCGTTATAAAATAAAAAGCCATAAAAATGATCCCCTATTAACCCTGCTGACATTTGGTGTGATTTGGTTCTATATAAATAGCCCACACTTTCTCCCCACAGAGAACAAATTACTAAATTAGGAGGAATGCACTGCGGATAGGAATTTCATGCTAATAAAACAACCGCCCACCCAAGAAAATGTCGCAATATGCAAAAATATAGATTTTCACCTTTTGCCCGCCAGACGAGGCGACAATTGTTTAAGGCTAATCGCATTAGACATGCAAAACCCAGAACTCAAGGTTGGAAGGGGAAGTATTATATTATGGGTCGGTCCGCAGAGAGATGATTATCATATCATCTGAATGCAGAACTTCGAGCTCTGATTCCGCAGCCGGGCGGAGCTAATGAAATTAAAATGGAAAGGAAATCGTTAGACAAGCAATTTTCTTTGCAGTTTGCACTAGTTTCGGTTTGGGAAAACATTTGCATTGGCATTGGCCTCAGATAGCGACAGGAATTCCAAATTTTGGCTCTGGCTTTGCCAGTCCGGAGTTACGTGACTTAAATGCTTAAGAAATTATGATTTCGCCACCAGGCAAGACTCGCATGTGTTTGTACAGCACCAAATAATATATATATCAACGATGTGCCAAATGTGAGACTGGAGCTCATGGCCCAGACACAAAGGTCTTTCGAGATTCGGCGAGGTTAAGATGGGTTCCCTCTTTCTTTCAGAAAAATCGCTTTTACTGCTATGTGAGCTTCACCATGGGCAAGAAGTCTTCAATGCAACTGCGGCAAGATAATCGACTATGGTTGCAGGTGAGAACCTTCTTATAAAATAAAATATAATATATATCTTAATTTCTATATTTAAAATCCCTTCAGACATATCAAACCCAAATAAAAGACAAGCTGGGCATCGACAGCTTCCTAGTTCAGCCCATCCAAAGACTGACCAGATATCCTTTGCTCCTGCAGCAATTCATATCGGTAAGGTGGTGGTTTTTACTTTATAGAGTTCTTTATTAATGGATTTTTTATATTTTAGGAGTTCTACAAAAGTGGAATTAGTTGCAAGCCTGTGCTGACTGCCGTTTGCAAACTGGAGACGCGAATGCGACGTGCTCTGGATGTGGTAAATCAGGCCGAGGAGATTCCCAACATCGAGGAGCTCAATGAGGTGAGTAGGCAGTAGAGAAAATACAAGTATTTATGCCAGATATGGAAATTATTTTGTTAAATAAGAAACAGATTAGCAAATTCATTTAATGGATAATAAATTAAATTTATTTTAATTGTCATAAATTCCATTTTGTTCAAGAAGTATTGAAGTAAAAGTAATTTTAAACAAATGAGATTTCCGGAAAGAATTTATTTTAAAGTATTATTAAAACTACAAGTATTTTTTTAAACCTCTTGAATTGAAAAGGGTTTAAGATATATAAATTGAAAATATTTGTATGGATGAAGATTTATGTATTATATATTATGTATTGTTTATCCATTTGCAATAAAAACCCACCTGTTTTTCCTCCCCAGTTGGACCTCCTGCAGATGGGAAACTTCCGGCGCTCGACGGAGTTCGACGCCCAGCACTTCCCCACCCGGAAAAAGTACCGCTCCAAGGTGTTCCTCTTCGACCGCTCCTTGGTCTGCACGGAGGTGCGGAAGCGGCGGCTGGCCTACCGGCAGCACTTCCACTGGGAGCACGTGGAGCTGCAGAGGCCGCTGGACTCCAGCTCCGCCAATGCCAACAAGACCATCAACCTGCTGGTGAAGCAGCAGGATGGGGGCTCCAGTGGGAGTGGGAGGCGGGAGGAGTACTCCTTCGTGGCGGCGGAGGCGGCGGTGGTGAAGCAGTGGCTCCTGGCCACCCACAAGATCATCGAGATCGCGCGGAACGAGCACGCCCGGAGGAACACCTTCAGTTTGCCCATGGACCTGGTGCTCGGAGTCGTCGTGGCCATCTGGCTGATATGGCAGTACTTGTAGAGAACCCATGTCCTATTCCCCATCCACTCACAACTCTAGATCGTAGATATCTAAGAATAAAGCTAAGTTATTTCGTAGTCCTTTCTTGTCCTCGCTGCTTGTCCGAGTGGAAAATAAGCTTGCTGCAGTCGCTTGACAAGTATTTGTGATAAATTGCCTTTGCAGTGGCCAAGTCCTTGCAGCAAAATGTAAATAGCTCTTCATCTTTTTCGCCTGCCACACAAGGCACACTCCGCACAGTGACAGTGTGTGTGGCAGCCGCCGAAAAATTTATGACAAATCTATTTGTTTAGAATTTATGACGGCTCGATGCAGGAGACCCGCCCAAAAAGCCAAGTCACGGTCTACCAAAATCTAATGAACCATGGCCCAGGATGTGAATATGGAGTGTTCAAGGAACTGTTGGTTTTCTTTGAGAATCTTAAAAAGTAGTTTGCATGGTTTAAAAATTGAGTAAAGAATATTCAAAGGAATAACGGGGAAAAACGTATTAAATTCCTACAGATTATGAGAAAGTCTTCAAATAATAGCGTCATATTATTTAATTTAAAGATTTGATGTTATAATTAATTTTAGATCGGGGGTAATACGTTTTGCCCCTGTCTTGCCTACTAAATTTAAAGGAGATTGTAGTTTAAGTCACAGTCTATATTTACAAATGTGATGCAAATATTTATACCCTTGCAGAGGGTATTATAATTTTGGTCAAAAGTGTGCAACGCAGTGAAGGAGACATCTCCGACCATATAAAGTATATATATTCTTGATCAGGATCACCTCCTGAGTTGATATAGCCATGTCCGTCTGTCCGTCTGTCCGTCTGTCTGTCCGTCTGTCCGTCTGTCTGTTTCTACGCAAACTAGTCTCTCAGTTTTAAAGCTATCGAATTGAAACTTTGCACACACCCTTCTTTCCTTTGCACGCAGTATATAAGTCGGAACGGCCGAGATCGGCCGACTATATCCTATAGCTGCCATATAACTGATTGATCGGAAATGCCATAACTTTGCTGTTTGTAAAGTTAGGAAGTTGGGATTTTCTATGCGTGTTATATTTGGCCGATCAATCCGACCTACCAAATTTCATAAGGATCGGCCGACTATATCCTATAGCTGCCATATAACTGATTGATCGGAAATGCCATAACTTTGCTGTTTGTAAAGTTAGGAAGTTAAGATTTTCTATGCGTGTTATATTTGGCCAATCAATCCGACCTACCAAATTTCATAAGGATCGGCCGACTATATCCTATAGCTGCCATATAACTGATTGATCGGAAATGCCATAACTTTGGTGTTTGTAAAGTTACGAAGCTGGGATTTTCTATGGGTTTTATATTTGGTTAATCAATCCGACCTACCAAATTTCATAAGGATCGGCCGACTATATCCTATAGCTGCCATTTAACTGAACGATTGGAAATACCATAACTTTGGTGTTTGTAAAGTTAGGAAGCTGGGATTTTCTATGGGTTTTATATTTGGTTAATCAATCCGACTTACCAAATTTCATAAGGATCGGCCGACTATATCCTATAGCTGCCATTTAACTGAACGATTGGAAATGCCATAACTTTGCTGTTTGTAAAGTTAGGAAGTTGGGATTTTTATAAGTATTAAGAATGCATCATATGAATAATTTTGGAGACTATAATGTACATAATATTCTGCAAGGGTATATCAACTTCGGCTCCGCCCGAAGTTAGCTTTCCTTTCTTGTTTTAATTCAGTTTGCTTTCATACACAAAACGGTTTACTTTATCATCATTGAGTTAAAAGTATATTTAAAAAAGTGATTACAAGTTTTGATGAATGAATGAATCAAACATAAAAAGGCATTTGTAATTATGTGGTTTTATATATAACTTTCTAATTATTGCTGCATCAAAAACATTACAACTTTTGTTTTGCTTTTTTTATTAAAATAATTACAATCTGTTCCTGAAAGTATGCTACACACTTCAGTAAATTCCGTCAAAAGTCAGCTTATAAATATTTATTCAAAACCACTGTGCGACAGACTTCGATTGAAACCAAATCAAAATATGATTTCCCACATTACATGTCCTGATTATCCGGTCAAACGATGGTAAATAAAATGAAATTGGTAAGGGAAAATATGCCTGGCAAATTTGTTGCAAGTTCAAAGAGCTGGCCAAAATAATAGTAAAAGCAAAAATGCACTAATGAAGTTAAACAGGATGTGGGTGTATGGGTGTCCCATCTGGCCCAATCTGCATGTCCTAGGGTGTGTGGGTGTATGGGTGTGTGGGGGTGTATTGGTGTTTGTGCTTGGGATGTGACAAAATTTGCACAAAAGCAATTTGTTAAAAGGGCACAAAAAATAAAACGCGACTCCCTTGACATCTGGCTGCGGGGTGTGGTGGGGTGTGGTGGGTTGGGGTGAGTTGGGGTGGGGAATTTGCCTTCATGCGAGTTGCTGTCTAAGCAAATTTCGGTCGCTATTTTCCTATCTCCTCCGAACATGAGCTCATTCCACTGGCTGTTCGCTGTTGGTTTATTATATTATGTCATTTATGTTGGCATGCCGCCATCGCATCCGCTTGTCGTTTGCTCGGGGGATAAAGGATGTACAGCGCCAAGGAAGCTGGCTAAAGGATAATGCCCGTGTTCTTACCAGGCAGCTTAAGTGTATTAATGTCTGTCAAGTAGTTGTCACAAAAGTGACGTGTATGTAAACGATTTGACATTTTTATGAGCCAAAAAGTCGCAGAGCTGAAAAATTACAACGTTTCGCGAGTCAGCAAAGGACCTCTTCCTCTCTCTTAGTCTTTTCAATATTTCTGGGCCATTGGCTCTTGAGCTGCTTTTAATTTTTGGCTATGCCCCTCACGTAGTTTGCTCTACACGCTCCACATGTTTTTTAAACTAAATGCATAATTTCGAACGCAAAAAAAGTGTGGAAAAAGAAGAATTTGGCAATAGAATTGTAGAATGCCAGGGGCATAATTTATCTGAATTTTTTCGGGCCACGTCGCAGGACTGGGAGGACGTCGAACGAATTTGCCAAGTAATTGCACAAATTATTGCACGTAGGCGGGCAACACATGATGGCTGGGTGCCACAGATGGCGTCCTGAGATAATCCCGCCCCCTTTGCAGCCCCCTTTGCTGCCCCCTTTCATGGTACATTAAATTAACTTGACATATCCCCGGCAAACTCTGCGATGCTCTGGGCCACAACTGTTGCTAATTTTTGCTTAATATGCCCCACACACGGGCTCATCCCCATCCACTGCCCTACATCCACTGCTCCATTGGATTTGTGCGTATCCAATTCACGCCTCAGCGCCAGTTGCTGTCCCCAATCCATCGACAGTATCCAAGTATCTACATATAGCCCAGCCTTTATCTCCCCCGAAATTGTACGGCCATCCCATGTAAATGCAACACAACACTTAGGCACGCATCCAGCACACATCTTCATCCATCCGTCCAACATTTGCCGCCTCGTCTCCGGATTTGCGAATTCGTTTAGTTCTTTTGCTCCGGGTGCTTGAAAAAGTTCAAATTTCAGCTGCGAAATGGCACGTGAAACAATGTGCTCCTGGGGTCGGCAGTTGGAGTAATCGGATGGGGAACAGTGGACACAGACTCAGTCTCAAAGAAATTGGAAAGGTTTCGGATATGGTTAAATTTATGTCTAATTATGATGCATTATTTATATAAAAAGGCTTTTCCAGATATCAATATATAATATATTTTATTAGCTGCTGCAAGATAAATTTTTTTTTATAATAATAAAAATAAACTATTTATGAAAATGTAAAAACGCTCTAAAACTTCTATTAAGACTACAATAAATTAGCAATATTTAATACCAATTCTTTTTTTAAGTATTATAATTCAAAAATCAAATGTTAATCAAGCAATTTAAATCTTACTAGTAGGTCGGGGATTCATCGATTAACTATTATTTTTTTTGCTGGAAAAAGTGCATTTTGTTCCACTGTGCGAGTTGAGGTGGCACAAATCAAGCAAAGCGACAAATGCCCATGCGAATGTGTGAATTTGCCGACGATGACAACTGATAAAAGATCGAATTGCGCATCTGAATCCCGAGGAGAGTTCCAGGACACGTTCCGCAAAATGGGCAGGGAGTGCGGGGGAGGGGAAACCCTTAAGACCCCGGGTTAGGCATAATGCCGCCTGGCATTAGATAAAAAACAAAGGCATGTAATTTTCGGGGCATGGCCCAAAGCCACAGGACGAGTCGAGCAGCGGAAACGGAAACGCTCGATAATCGCACAGAGTGCAGCGTCATGTGTGGGTGGGGAAGTGGGAGGGGTTGGAGGTGGGGGTGGGAGGTTAGGCGCTTAGCACGTTCAAGGATGAGGTTGCTTCCTGATGCCTGATAATGCGGTGGCGGCGGATCACGTAGGGCTGGGGCAATACCCACTCCCCCATTGATAAATGCCCTCCGTTAAGTGGCATGTTTTGGGTTAAATGCGGTGTAAAATGTGCTAGCCCCCTAACCCCTAATGGCATAATAACCTGGCACTGGAAAAAACAAATCCACTTAGGGGATACCAAACCCAGGAGATAAAAAATACAATTGATTTGCTAGAGACTTAAGCTTGGGGCTATTGTACAACAATAACAATACAACAATAACAATGTAACTTTTTATGGGGAAATTAAAGGAAGTATAAAGTATATTTTTCCCTGAGTGTAATTGGAATAGCAAGAGGTAGCTCCTGCTGAATGACAGTTCAGTTAGCAGCCGGGACAACAAGTCGCAGCACCTTGAAACTGTCAACCTGGCACGCTGACGCAAATAAATCGCCCATCGTTGGCGCACCTGACGCGTCGACATATGCTCTGCGAAAAGCAAATGCAGAGCGTTTCCGGAGCGGACTGGGATTGGGTGGAGGAGCCGCCGCCCAGGCCTTGTACATACATCTTGCTTACAGGACGCCAAATTGAAATTTAAAACGAGAAAACCAATAAAAAACAAGTTACACAGACGCCACCGACGGGCGGCAATACAAATTGCACTGACGACAGCTGAAAGGCCACATCCACATCCTCATCCCCATTCCCTTCCTCATCCTCATC